TGTAAGTGAAAGTGCTTAACAGAGCGCCTAGCACATGGTAGATACTCAACAGGGGTTAGGTTTCCCTTCCTTTTCCCTAAGACAACGGCTAAGCCTACAGGCTTTACAGGCAGACTGCTTGGTTCAACTCCTGATTCTGCCTCTTCCTGGCTGTGTGATATTGGGCACATGGCATTCTGAGAGAGGCCTTCCCAAGTGACAGGTGAGTGTGGACACATGGCAGCTTAAGTCTGAGTATACCACTTTTTTAGCAGAAACGGGAACTATTGGCAAAATCACTTGGTAGGACTCCATTCACACTTCTGATGTTAAGGATAAACACTTGCTAGTTAACATCACAGTAACAACTTGAGAATGGAGGTAACCAATACTGAAGTGACCACTCAGAACAATTAATGACTGAAAAGAGTTAAGCAGGGCTATATTTTGTTTACACTTGTATGGTCAGCTCTGTTTTAATCCGCATCAGCAGTGACACCTCATAAAATTTCCTATGGGTTTACAGTTTAAGAACTTAATCACATACATGTTGGGCTTCTGGTGTTATCTCTTCCATAACAGATCATCTGTTTCCTTTACATTTATGTTATCTCCCAAGCCAATACGTAGTGTTGGTACGCGGGCCTCTCACTGCTCTGGCCTCTCCCGTTGCAGAGCACAGGCTCCGGATGCGCAGGCTCAGCGGCCATGGCTCACGGGCCCAGCCGCTCCGCGGCATGTGGGATCTTGCCAGACCGGGGCACAAACCCGTGTCCCCTGCATCGGCAGGCAGACTCTCAACCACTGCGCCACCAGGGAAGCCCACGTAGTGTTCTTGAAAGCAGGAGCCAAGTATATGTTTTTTACATCTCACATGGTACCTAGCCCAGTCCTGCACTTGTTGCAGAAGGAAGGAAGAGGGGGAAGAAGGAAAAAGGGAGGAGCTTGTGTTTGTGTTAGAAATCTGAAATAAACATATATTTGACAATAAAATGGCCATACTGGGTAAGACTCACACAGTTCATTACAGCCTAATGGAAGACTCCTTTCCTTCTTCATGTCAATCTCAAATAATCAAGACTGTATTCTACAAATACACTAGAAAACCTTTAAGGCTCTGCAGCCATTACTTGTTCTAAATTATTTTAAGAGATATAATAAATTCTTTTGCTTACATTTATGTTTTTAAAAATAGAACATGAATTCATTCCCTTGCAAAAGACTTGAATGACAGGGAAACATACAGAGTAAACCACTGAAGTTGCTTCACCTCCTTAACTCACTCCCCACCCCACTGACAGCACAAATAACTGTTTGTGTGTTTCCCTGAAGCAATTTATATTTTATGCCTGTACCATGTTTTGGGTTGCTGGATTCCTTCTAGATCAAAGATTTCATGATTTTATAATTAGGAAGGAGCCATTAGATATATTCATTCATCTAATAAATAATTACTGGGGATCTACTCTGGGCTAGGGGAATATAGAGGTGGATTAAACATACAGTACTGCCTTCTCTTGCTATTAACATCGGGATTCCAAGAACTCTGTTTCGAAAGTGCATTTGGGAGGGGGCACTGGGATGGAAGCTAGATGTCAGGAAGTTGGAGGGTAGATGGGAAGGAGGACTGAAAGCTGTACTGTTGTGGTTTTGTGAAATTTAGCTGTGAAAGAAATGTTGTGATAAGGTAATAGCTTACAGAAGTAGTGGGGGCCAAAGGAAAGATTCGTTTCAACATGGGAAGAGGCTGTAAATTCATGTAAGAAGTATTTTGGAACACCTACCATGGCCAGGCACTGGGCTTACCTTCCACAGGAGTATGTGTCACCTGTGTCCACTCAATAAGCATGCAGTGAGCTCCTTTACATTTGGCTGGACACTGTGGTTGTATAAGTGTGTGTAAAATAACCACTGCCCATTTACGAGCACAACTACCACATTTGAAGCAAAAATGCAGAGAAGAGTTGATTCATGGGGCCAGTTCTAGGAAAATGCTAGGAGGATGACTTATGTGACCAAGTAGGAAGATTTATTTTGGACCAGTGGGAGGACATCTTTTCTTCTATTGGAGGGAATGGTCAGTTAGTATAAATTTCTATAAAATAATTGGGAAAAATATATCACAAGCCTTTAAATTGTCCATGCCCTTGGGAATTCCCTGGTAGTCCAGTAGTTAGGACTCTGCGCTCTCACTGCTGAGGGATTCCCTGAAGGAATACCTGGTCAGGGAACTAGAATCCCACAAGATGCTCAACACAGTCCCCCAAAAAACAAGTCCATACCCTTTGACCCACTAATTCCTCTTCTAGAAGTCTTCTCTAAGGAAATCATCAGTACATGGTAAAAAATGAGAAGCATAGTGGTAGTTATAGAATATGGACTCTCAGTTCAAATCCTGGCCACTCCACTAACTAATTATATTACCTTGAGCAAATTCCTTAACTTTACTCTCTTCAATTTAAAATAGGGATAATAGTATTTATCTATAAGATTATTGTGAGGCTTAAATGAACTGATATGTCAAACATTTGAAACTTGGTAAGCACAAAAATATAAAGATTTATCATTAAAGCAAAAGAAAATGGAGATATCAAAAATCTCTAGCAATAGTACATGGTTTATATAAGCAGAGGACAGCCAGGTAAAGTGTGCCAGAAACTGCTAGTTGACCCTCAATATCTGTCTTCTCCTTCTAAAGTACTAGAAGCCCTGGATTTTAGTTGGGCATACAACCACCTAGAATAAATACTATGATTCCCATCCTTCCTTGAAACTGGTTATGGCCATATGAGTAGATCTGGCCAATGGAATATGAGCAGAAGTGATGGGCATACTTTCTGGGTTGTGTCCTTAAAGACGAGAGGCATGCTTCCCCACCTTTTTTCCTCCTCTTTTTGATTTTCACATAAACATGGTGGTGAGACATCTTGGACCATGCAGACAAGGGCTACACCTCGGGATGGCAGAGCAATTCAATAAAAGAGTCTGAGCCTCTGACAACTTCACAGGGCTTCACACCAGCTCAGAATGCCACAACAGAAAAACACATTTCTACCTTGTTTAAGCCACTATTGTTCCATGTCTCTTTCACAACAGCCGAACCTACTTCCTATTAGCAGAAGGAAATAGTATGCAACTAATTAAAATGATGTTTTAAGAAGCAGTTTGAATGTCATGAAAGAATGTTTATCATATATTAGGTGGAAAAAAACTGGATATTAGATTTTATATATATATATATATATATATATATATATATATATATATGAGATATGATCTCAGCAATTTTTTAAAAAATTCATGGTTAAAAATACTGGAAGGAACTATACCAAAATAGAATTATGTTTGGATATTTTTCTTCTACTTCTCTATACTCTCCCAAATTTTCTGCAGTGCACATCCAATATGTTGATAATCAAGAGAAGATACAGTATAAAATTCTAGCCACCTATATTTCAAGACAAAGTTGCCCCAGTTGACAGGAATACCCCTTCTCCTTCTGCACACATGGGTCATTTTGTTCCTGCCCTGGTTAGATTGTAAGCAAGCACTGTGTCTTGTATAATTCTGTAATGCACAAAATTTCACCTCTAGTAGACACTAAATAAGTACTTCATGGATAAAACATCACAATTAGAAAGGCAGAAATGTTTATACAGCTAACAGAGAAAGGCACAGATGTTTATACAGCTACATACAGCTAACTTAAAGCAATAACTTGGCTGCTTTATTTATACATTCCCTGTATTACAAGCAAATTACTCACAATTCCTTGCATATAGTTTATCTTCCTGTATTATACTTAAGAACAATACAAAATTTACTATAGCTGCATTTGAGTTTTACACTTTTTTTTTTTTTTTTTGCCATACGTGGGCCTCTCACTGTTGTGGCCTCTGCGGTTGCAGAGCATAGGCTCTGGACGCGCAGGCTCAGCGGCCATGGCTCATGGGCCCAGCCGCTCCGCAGCATGTGGGATCTTCCTGGACCGGGGCACGAACCCGTGTCCCCTGCATCGGCAGGCAGACTCTCAACCACTGCACCACCAGGGAAGCCCTACACATATTTTTAAATATGTATCACCACCCTATTAAGCATATATTATTATCACCATTTTACAGATTTCAAAACTGAAGCTCAGAGAGGTTATTTGCTCCAGATCACAGAACTATGAAGTGACAGGGCTAAGAGTGTAACCTTGATCTTTCTGACTTTACAACATTATCCTACCCAAAATATATATATTTGTATATATTATCCTACCTAAGATACATGCACACACACACACACTATTTTAATCCTCACAGTAATCTACATAAGTATTATTAGTGTGCTAATAATATATCTTCTTTTTTATTAACTAGTTTTTAATTGAAAAAGAAATACATGCCCCAGTCTAATCATGACAAAAACATCAGACAAATTCCAATTAAGAGACATTCTACTGACTAGTAGCCAGTACTGACCAGTACTCTTGAAAGGTCATCAAAAGCAAGTCTGAGAAACTGTTTCAGCCAAGATGAGCCCAAGGAGACATGACAATTAAATGTAATGTGGTGTTCTGTGTGGCATCTTGGAACAGAAAAAGGACAATAGGTAAAAACTAAGGAAATTTGAGTAAAGTATGGAGTTTACTTAATAATAATGTATCAATATGGATTCACTGTGACAAATTGTGAAAAATGAAACATACTCATGTAAGATGCTAATCATAGGGGAAACTGGGTTTAGGTATATGGGAACTCTCTGTACGATATGGGCAATTTTTCTGTAAATCTAAAACTATCCTAAAATTAAAAGTTTATTTTTTTAAAAAAGAAATATATGCATTTGAAAAAATTCAAATAGAATCAGAGTATATAAAATGAACAGTAAGTCTGCCTCTTACTTTAGACACTTACTCTCTTGGTTCCCCTTCCAAGAAGCAAACATTGCTGCCAATTTCTTGTGTCTCCTTCTCTACAAGCACATACAGGTATGGACATATTTTTCAGTAGAGAGACCTATGTTCATGACTTAAGAATCTAACTCCCTAGGTTCAAGTTAAGTGTATCAGTTTCCTATGACAGGTGTAACAAAGTACCACAAGCTTGAGGGCTTATAACAATGAGATTTATTTTCTCACAGTTCTGGAGGTGAGATATCCAAATCAGCATCACTGAGTCAATATCAAGGGGTCAGCAGAGGCTCTAGAGGAGATTCTGTTCCTTGCCTCTTGTAGCTTCTGCTGGCTGTCAGCAATTCCTTGGCTTGTGACCACATCCCTCCAATCTTTGCCTCCGTGGTCACATTGCCTTCTCCTCTTCTTCCTTATATGGCAAGTCTCCCTTTATTTCCCTCTTAAGAGGATTACACTGTGATTACGTAGGGCCCAATGGATAATTCAGGATAATTCCTCCATTTCAAGTTTCTTAGTCAGTCACACCTGCAAAGAATTTTTCGAAATAGGGAAACATTTACATGTTCCAGGGACTAGGACATGATATCTTTGAGAGCTATTATTCAACCCACTACAGTAATTTATTTTATTTATTTATTTATTTATTTATTTATTTATTGTGGTACGCGGGCCTCTCCCTGTTGCGGCCTCCCCCGTTGCGGACGCGCAGGCTCAGCGGCCATGGCTCACGGGCCCAGCCGCTCCGCGGCATGTGGGATCATCCCGGACCGGGGCACGAACCCGTGTCCCCTGCATCGGCAGGCGGACTCTCAACCTCTGCGTCACCAGGGAAGCCCCGAAGTAATTTATTTTTTTAATTGAAGTTTTCACTCACAAATTAATGACAAGTACAAGAACAAAACTGCTGTCTACACCTTATTCATGTTAATAAAACTGACATTCTGATGACTCTCTAACATAACTCATCACTTTCCTTCTAAGTGACATAATTATATTCCCTTAGGTCATCCTAAAAGATGTGGAATGGTCTCAGGTAATATGCAGCTGGTCATTTAAATTCAGTGTCTCAAGATACTGTTTTTAATTTTCCTTTCTGTCTTCCCTTTATCAAGGGTAACTTAACTCCCAGTGCTACCAGCCCCTTCTATCCTGTTGCATCCGTTTTCAACTGTGGTTTTCTAGCCTCACTGTCAGAGCAATATGATGAAAGATCTTCAGCATCTGATGCAAGACTGTGCTCCCTTGGTGTTCCCAGGCCCCAACAAGTTGACTCTGTGCCCCTGTGTGAGAACAGGGCTGCCTGACTGGGCAACATTTGCCAGTCCCTGAAGTCGCAAAGATTCTGACTTTAAAAGCAATCTGTAGGGCTTTACCTGTGAAGCAGAGGAACTCTGGAAAACTCTGTACTCTGGTGGGATCACTAGGACAGTGAGGAAGGTAGGAAGGTGATATACGGTCCAGGAGGAGGAAAAAACAAAAACAAAAATCTCAGCCTCTACTGACCTACCATCCTCTCCAGACTCATTTGCTCCAATCCAAAAGGTCAGACCCTCCAGAGACAGCCTGGAACATCTTGCCTGCAAAATATACAGCATGGAGACATGGTACTTTTTGTTCTCATATGACGAAGCGTTGAAAATAATGGTTAATACTGAGCCTGTCAGGAGACGTTGAGTTCAAAATTTAGCACTTTCCTACATCTTAGGCTCTTAATCATCTGTACCAGTATTTTTTTTTTTTTTAACTGCAGGGAAGGAAGCAGTTAAATTTCAATATGAAACAACAGCTCCCAGTACTCTCATCTACCACCAGTAATTACTGCTCAGAGAAAGGATTAAAAAATATGTAAAGCCTAACCCCAATTCCCTATAGCCTGCCTGCTAGTTCCTTTCTGTAGCCAGCGTCATATTTACCAATATATTTTAAACCAAGCATGAAAAAGTCAAGAATACCAATAACTTTGTTATTTGGAGTGCTGACAAAGGATATAATGGAGCTATTAGGCACCATGTCTGTCCAGGCTCATTACACAAATATGCCCATCCTCTGGGAGGACTGCGGGAGGAATGAGTGAGGTAATGTATCTAGGGCGCTTCGCACAGCACCTGACAAGTGGCAAAGGCTCGATAAACAGCAGCTATCGCTATTATTAGCACCACAGTGGGGCCCGCATGGAAACTCCATCCAGTGTCAGGCGAAGGGAGGAGAAGTGAGGAGGAACGTACAGTAAGAGGTGGGGAGGGAGAGAAAGGGGAGAGACCAGGAGAGACCAAGAGTCAGACAGACAAGTTTTCCAAGTTTTCCTCAGGATAGCTTCTACCCGAGGTGCACCACCCAAAATGACTTTTCCTAAATTTGATTATTAGATGCTGCCAATTGAGCCAAAATTTTATGCTTTTTATTTATGAAAAACGTTTTCCCAAGATTGAAAATTCAGTTAGCTATATTTAGGTGGTTTTTGTTTTTGTTTTTGTTGAGGGCGGATGGTGGTTTGTGTGTTTGTTTCACAAAAATGAAAAGCCCAGGTGATCATTTTTCCTACCTACTCAGTCCCGAGATTAAATCCTGGTGGGTTATAGTTTCATTGATCATTGTCTATCTGGAATATCTGGAAAAAGTGCCTGATTGGGTAAAGCTCCCCTTTTCTGACCAAGGCAACCAAGACCTCCTTGATCCACATAGTGGAATAGGCGACATTGGCACCATCCCCTCTGCCCTTGCAATGTAGAGACATAAAATACATGGCTGACACCATCCCCAGTCTCTCAATGGTGACAGGGACATCAGTGTTACTATTCTGTATACTAATTTGTGTTCTGTATCAGTCCATGGAGGATTTGAAGAGCTTTTCACCAAAACCCGTACAATAACATTGTGATGTAATAAAAGTTAGAATAAAGAATCAGCAGCAGAGACAATATAAATAAAAATAGAAAGTCGAGACTGAGGAAAGCCCATGACAGCTTCTATAGGGCCTATAATTGTGCCTCAAATTTAGCTTGAGAGAGAAGTTTCCAGGCAGCTAGAGCAGCAACCTAGGAGCCGGGGCCCATGAGGCCAACCTCAGGCCCAGAGAGGAGGGAATGTCAGGGGCCGCTGGAATTACAAAGAGAATTGCAGGCAAGGGTGAGGCTGACGGGCCTGCCAGTCTGGACTGGGGGAAAACAGTGAGCCAGAGATGCCCACCTTTGTTTGCATTTTTGCAACCTCACTCCACGCCCATTCCTATTTAGTGTGGCCCCAGGGAAGCACAGATTATGAGTTTTCAGTCAAGGACCCAGTGTGCAGATAATTCAAGATGCTGGTTAAAAGTGGACCCAGGTGCTTTTGAGATCAGACGAGCAAGTGGTTAAGGCAGCACCTGCAGGGTACCAAGGACAAAGCCAGGAATTTTCCTGAGAGCCAGGGTCTACTCTGGCATGGCAACAAGCAAAGGCTAAGGTTGTGGCATTCTATACTACGGATCGTGGCTCCAATGCTCTTGGCATGGACTACGCTTAAAGCAAGTGTGACCAATCATTCAGCAAGGTCAAAAAAAAAATTAAAAACCATATCAGAAATACTGTCAGCTTCCCAGTGAACCTGCCTGGATGAATTAGCTGCACAGTGTGCCCCTGGAGGAACTAGATGAATTAGGCTGCCGCAGCGGTTGCCAGATATGAAGCAATAATTTTGAAGGACACCTGCCAAAAGCATAATTTTTTTATTTTAGAATGGTTACTGTAGAATGGCTCTTAAAGAGGGGGAAACAATTAGCTAGCAGGACCACCTGTTTGTGGTAAGCCTCTTGGTTCCTAACCAGAGGTCAACAAACTATAAGGCTTACCTGTTTGTATTTTCCCATTATCTATAGTTGGGCAACCAGGGGATTGCAAAGAAGCTTCAAATCATTGAAACATAATTTTGCAAATAGGAGAAAAGTGGCAAGACTAAACAATCTCAAATTATAATCTAACGTCTTAGCAGTCCATTCTGGCTAGCCATGCTTCTTACAGAAGTATGAATATACAGTGTACCAGGCTCCCACTTATGTCTAAATTAATAGTGTAATAGCTTTTGAGTTCCTTGGCCTCTCCAGTTGCCTCTCTGATTCAAAAAGTGTGGGGAAGGAATCCCTGGGGTGTCTCTTCCCCAGTGATCTTGTTCCTTATTTCCTTAGGAAAAGCAGGATAACGCCTCCTCAAAGATATCCACATCCTAAACCCCAGATCCTGTGACTATGTTAAGTTACATAGCAAGATGGAATTAAGGTTGAAGGTGGAATTAAGCCGCTAATCAACTAACCTTGAGATGGGAAGTTTAACCTGGATTGTCTCAGTGGGCCCAATGTCATCACAGGGCTCTTAAAAGCAGAAGAGGACGGCAGAAAAGTCAAAACCAGGGAGACAGCATCGTGAAAAAGACTCAGCCAGCCTTTGCTGGCTTTGAAGATGGAAGGGGGCCAAGAACCAAGGGATGCAGGCAACCTCTAGAAGCTGGAAAAGGCAAGGAAACAGATTCTCCCCTAGAGTACTCAGAAAGGAGCCAACCCTGCAGACACCTTGATTTTAGCCCAGTGAGACCTATTTCAGTATTGTGACTGTGAGATGGTAAATTTGCTACTTTACTGGTGTTTTATGTCTCCTCCACTGCAACTCATACATAACCTGAGAATTCACCTCCCTCTCTCTTCCAGACTGCGGTGGTTCTCCAAACTTGGACACACATTGGAATCACCTGGGCAGCTTTTAAAATACTGAATGCTGAACTTTCCTGGTGGCACAGTGGATAAGAATCCCCCTGCCAAGGCAGGGGACATGGGTGCGAGCCCTGGTCCGGGAAGATCCCACATGCTGCGGAGCAACTAAGCCCGTGCGCCACAACTACTGAGCCTGCACTCTAGAGCCCGCGAGCCACAACTACTGAAGCCTGTGCACCTAGAGCCCATGCTCCACAACAAGAGAAGCCACCGCAATGAGAAGCCAGTGCGCTGCAATGAAGAGTAGCCCCTGATCGCCACAACCAGAGAAAGCCTGCACGCAGCAACGAAGACCCAACGCAGCCAAAAATAAATAACACTAAACCTTTAAAAAAAAAAAAAAAAAAGCACTGAATGCTGGGCCCCACACATAGAGATTTCTGATTTAATTACTCTGGAGACAGTTCATGAACCATGAATTTTTCAAACTCCCCAGATAATTCTAATGTGCTGAGCTTAAGAATTGCTGTCATAGAGGGTGTGATAGATTTCTCTCCAGAATAGAAGCATAACAAGCAGTAGTGGAGAAGCTACACCTGAACCTTGCTTGCTCCTCATGTAAACTATTGGCACAGGACAGTGGGCTCCTAAGCCCCTATATTGATCAGGGTTTACTTGCAAAGAACAGAATCTATTGTAGCTGGTTTAAGCAGGAAAAATACTTATTACAAGCTTACGGTAAAGGCTTACTGAATCATTGGGAAAGCAGAAGAAAGAGCTTCCATGACAAGCTTTCAAGAACAAAAAGTCTCAGTGCAGAAATGGGTCACCAAAGGAGTTTCTGCCTCTTCTGTGGTCAGAAAGAAGCTAGCTCCAGAATTATGGCAGGAAGCTGCTACAATGAGGAACCTGCCACATCAGGAAGTTGCACCATCCCTGCTGTGATACACACCAGCAGGGAGGCCTCATGCTCTGCCTTTTAGTACTCAAACCAACTGAGTTCCTAGACACTGGTACCTATGCTAATGCTGCCTCAGGGGGAAAAAAAAATCCCTCCATGCCTGTACTTTTTAGAAAAAAAAGCAATTACAGCAGAAATACAGCCTCCATTCCACTCGGCCTTCCAAATCTTGCACAAGTGTATTTGATTGGCCCAGCCTAACAAATTCCAAAACCTTAGCTGCAAGAGAGTCCAGGTAAAAAAAAAAAAAAAAAACAGAAACTTTTTTTTACTTTCTAACTTCTGCAGATTGGGAAAGTTCACAGAAGAAAACTTGAATGGATATTGAGCACCAATCCACCATAAATGCCGTAGACCCTTCCTCTGGGTATTCAACATCCATACTTACCTTCTCTCCATATTTAAACTTCCAAACAATAACATAATTGTCCCTGTACCAAGAAAAAAAAAAAAAAAAAAAACAAATGTACTCACCTCCCCTCAAAAGGGAACACCCAAAGTTCCATAAGTCTCTGTATCTATCTTTGGGTGATATTTATTCCTTCTCTAGTTCAGTAACAATTCCATCATGATATTCCATGCTATATAAATTAACTTGTAAAATTAACCACCATCAGTAGACCATTTATAAAGTTTTGAGAAAAATAGAAAGGGAGGAGGGAAAATGGTTAATGTGTATAAAAGCACATAACAGAACAAGGAAGAAATCATTTGTGGTCATGATAGTTCCAGAGGCAGCTGGAAGTCTACAGTTGGTATTTACAACTTATTTCCTCCCCAGCCTGTTTTGTCCTCAGCCAGCATAACAGCTGGGCCAAGTTATTTAGCTGGTAGAGTGAGCCGGATCTTCATTCTTGGTGGATCTAAACCCTCAGGGATCCTGACTATACTAGATTTCTGTAGTCTTCCACTAAAAGTTATCGTTAAATATATAAATTAAATTAAAATGCATATTGAATATATAATTTAATTTAACTTTTACCACTGGGCATGGCACTTCTGTGAAGTGTCCCAGAGGATCTTCCAGATTCCAAAAATACCTCTCCCTGCTCCCATAGTAAAGCAGCAACACTATTTTCTCTTGATAACTGGGCTGAAACACTCCTTTGACATAGTACTGACCCCTCTTTTGCCTGTTGGTTCATTTGCACATGGTGGCCAAAATGGTGAATAGCAATCTAAAGTTCCAATTTAACAGAACAAATTGATATCACGTGCTTCCTGATGTTTTGAGAAGGATACAACATTAGTTATGCAGTACTCCTGCTGAAAATGCATAACCTGAATCTAATCATGAGGAAACAATCCATCAGACTGAGGAAGGAGGCTTACAGACATCCACAAAACAGGTCAATGTGTCCAATTTATTTTTCAGCAACTCCTCGTCAAAATATGCCCTATTTTGAACAAACATGTGCTCACATATATCTTCCTTCTTTGTACCCATCCTAAGAGTTCATTTGCACACCTCCACCCCAGTCTGATACCAGTCCTCCAATCTTTTTCCTTCCAAATCTCTGGCCATCCAGCTAATCCAGAATGAATCTATTACCAATGAATCTATGTTGACCTGGACATCTGAACATCTTTATTTTCAAGCAACACTGACAAGTTCTTCCCACAGAGAGATTTTCTTTCCCTACTGTTTTTCAAGGTCACTGCTGAGTGGGGCTGTAATGTTACAGAAGCTGATTTTCAGCTGATGCAAGCACATCATATGGATGCATTCATAAACCAGGCTTGACTTTTTTTCTTTCTAGGGTAACTTCTTCATTGGGCTCGCCCCAAGGATCTACAGGTATTGATTGAGGGAGAGGGCAATGCAGCAGTGGGTGATGCCCTGGCAGTGTGAGCCCTCTGTTCATGCAATGTACTCATCCTTCAAGACCACATAATCATAAAGTGTTGGAGAATGAAGAATGAGAAGACCCATTCCTATAGCTTGGTTAATCAGATAACACCCAGCCCATGACGGACAGCTCAGGTCACGTGGTCACTTGACCATGAGAAGCAAGCCAGGCCTATTTCTCAAAGAGAGAGTAATCAATTGACAAATAGAGGATAACTTTGCTCCAAACTCTAGGGATGTGTACTGTATCTCTCCTGTAGAGGCTCCATACTCCTATAGGTTCCATGCACCATCCTCATCTGATAAAGACACTCCAGTCATGTGAGATAGTTGAAAATATATATATTGGTCTCTGCCCTGGGTTCCTGGCACAGAGCTCCTAAAACCCTTGTAACTTCCTAAGTGATAAGAACACTAGGATCATCTCGTGTTCTAGTATTTATATCTGACCCAGACCCTGACCCAGGGCTCCTAAAGCCTTGTCAATTCCTAAGTAGTAAGAGCAGTAGGAGCATCTTTTGTTCTAAGGAGGCAACTCTGGGTGGGCTTCTGATGGCTCTTGGATGGGGGCCAGTCACCCACAAAGACCAAGCCATGATTAGAAGCTTGGAATTTTCAGCACCTCTCCCCCTCCAACACTTCTCCAAAATGGGGAGAGGGGCTGGAAATGGAGTTAATAATTGATTGTGCCTATGTGAGGAAGCCTCCAAAAATCTCAATAGTACAATGTTCAGAGAGCTCCCGGGTTGATGAACACACACACACACACACACACACACACACACACACACACACGCACTGGAAGGGTGACGCACCCCAATTCCAGCGCCAGAGCTTATGTCCCCGAGGTCCTCTCCTGAGGACCCTCCCAGACCTCCTCCTATGTATCTCTTCATCTGGGTGTTCATCTGTATCCTTTAATAAACTGTTAGTCACTAAGTGTTTTCCTGAGTTCTGTGAGATGCTCTAGCAAATTAATCTAACCCAAGGGGGGGTTTTTGGAGCCTCTGATCTATAGCCCGTTGGTCAGAAGCACAGGTGTTAACTGGCATCTGAAGGGGGGGTGGTTCTTATGGAACTGAGATAGTGTAAGAATTGAGTTAAATGGTAGGATACGCAGCTGGTGTTGCAGAGAATTGATTGGTGTGGGGGGAAACTTCCATCCATTTGGTGATGAGAAGTGTCAGAATTGAAGTGTCTATGTAAAAGAAAAGGAAACTCTCAGGGAAGAAACACACAGTCAGGAAGAACTGGGGTTTTCCCTAAGCAGTAGAAAAAAGCTGAATTTTTTCCTTTACAAGTCACCACTAGATCGGCTGGATTATTAGGCCAAGTGGCAGTCTGCTTCTATTCCTTTTTATGCTCTGGGCCCCCCATAAAGCTGGCAGCTTAAGGTTACTCAGTAAATGAGTCCAGGTAGCACCTGCAGACGTGGTATGTGCTGTCTCCAAAAGCCAAAAGAAAGCTGTCAAGCTTGAACCTCTTTCTTAGCAGAAGGTACAACAGTTAGTCTTTCACTTTGGATGGGATATCTCAAAATGCTCCAGACTATTGGTCTTCCATAAACTTTACTGAAGTGACAGACCCTTGTATTTTTATGATCTTTTAAATATCCTGTCATGTATACATCTTACCAAGAACACATGCTACTTCTTTTTCACCAGGCTCAATTGAATGATGTCATCAACATAGTGGACCTGTATGATGTTCCATAGCATGGTGTGATCAACTTCCCTGAAAACTAAAACATGTCTGAGCATCTGATGCATGACCTAGCCCAGAGATAAACAGGGAAAGTATACTACTATCTCTGTGAGGTAAAATATAACTGAGTCTAGTGTTCTCTACCAACTAGAAGGAAAATATAGTATTTGCTAAATGTATAGGTCCCTTCCAGGTGCTAGAAATTATGTTAATTTGACATGTTGAACAGCAAATACAATCACCAACTGATTAAGTTTATAGTAATCCACTGTCATTCTCCAAGACCCGTAGTTTTCTTGTATATCTACTATGAGTTAAATGTAGATATGAGAAGAATCATCATCCCTGCACTATTTTAAGCCTTCTATGATGACACTAATCTCTGTGATTTCCTCAAGATTGCAGTAGTTTTTTTTGGGGGGGGGGATTGGTTTGGTTTACTATTTTTATGGGTAGGGGTTACTCCAGCTTCCACTGGACACTTCATAGTTAATAGCTTTTACTCCACAAAACCAACGTGGCTACTCTTCAGTTGCTGAAATGTATACTCCAACTACACATTTAAGAGTAAGGGAAATAATTACAAGAGGGCTTCACAAATTCAGTAGGACCACTGAGAGACAAGCTCAGACCCAAATTTCATTTATCACCTCTAAAGGACCACAGTAGTATTTGGAGTCTTAGGTGATTCATGTTAATGAAAGCTAGAATCCAATCAGCCCTCATCAGTTTTGGTGGTTCTCTTTTCCTAGAGCAGAGTTAAGTTATTAAATAGCTACAGGTTTCTTTGAGGAAGAATAGGAGAAATATTTATGGTACATTTTCTTGATAGGATCTCAGGGCTCTGGTTTCCCCTTCATTCAATGGCTTGAGGTTTATAAACTGGTCTGGAAATTGTGAAGGCCTATGACTTTCCAGATGCACAGTATTTTTGATTATATATATCAACAAGTGGATTCTGACAGAACGGCCGTCTCTTCATTCCTAGAAGGCAGATGGTCAATTAACTACCAGCAAAAATCAGATTGCTGCTCTGGCTGTGCTGCCAGAAGATGTTTCCACATTGCTTCTAACATTTAAGTATTGCTACTTGTTCTCTGCCTCTCCAGGTTCTCAGCAGACCCATTGCAATCAAAATGTCCATTTCAAAAGCAGCATCTCTCACCTTCCTGACTTACAGATGACTTCACTGCAACACTTCTCAAGGATGTACTTCTCACAGTTTTGTTTCTCAGTGCTCTGGTGAAAAGTCAGTCCCCTGGCCCTCTTAGTGGGTTACTGGATTATATGTGAAATACCTACCCCGATAGTCCTTTCTCCTAAGTGTTTGGATTCCTCCCCCTACGTTATACCACAGGTTTCTGATACCTCAATTTCCTTCGAGTAGGCCACCATTGAGCTCCATTTCCAGTCAATCAGTCAGGCCAAGAGTTACAACCATTCCCAGCTGCTCCAACTAGAACAATCCAGAATCTCTAGAAAATGTAACCACACCAGTAAAGTAAGCCAGATTTAAAATTATGTTTCTTATTTTCTAGCCTAGATTCTCATAATTTATTCCCACATATATTCCCTAGGTTTTTACTGATATAAGTGAGAAAATCTTGCCATTCCCTAGGTGTGTAAACTTTTGCCTCCTAAGATAGACATTGTACTTGTTCTTCTGAATTCATGATGGCGTTTGACTCTAGTAATAGATCTAGACCAATGAGTGATAGGAATTGTGGTAAGAGGAAAACTGGCATCCCCTTGCAAGGGAACTCCCTCAGCAAGGTCATTACAGAGTCTCTAAGAAAGGCTGGACCAGCCTCATCAAACATCATGGCCAGAGGAAATGCTTCTACTGGCAACAGAGGTTCAATGGAGTTTGGGGGATCTTTGTACTCAGGTTCAGTTGAACCCACCCAAATGGTCCCAATTCATATGGTCTCACTCTCTCCCAATCAATACTCAAACTTTCGCATAAGAGACCTAGTGATTCTGTGAGTTCAGATTATCTTTTAATCATCAACCCACAGGATCAGACCGCATTTGATGTTAGAATGTATCAGCCCTGCAGCTACATGAAATAAATGATTCTTCTAGAAATTCATAGGCACTTCTTGTCCTCTGATCATGCCTTACAACAGTAACTTTAAAATCCTAAGCAGATTATTTTTTCCTTAAGTTCTCTAATGTAGGTGAAAACAGCCACCCAGCTCCACAGTGCTTGTATGCCTTATTCTCACCATAGTGGTCAGCAGGGACCCAGTGCACCAAAGCCTTGCCTGCACTGTACACTTCATTCCAAGTGACCCACATATTAAGTAACGATTTCACCACTCCATGTCACGCACTGCCAGTATTCCATATTCTAATGCTAACATCATTGTTGCTCCTCTCAAACCTAATCAAGTCAGAAAAAATAAATCCAGATTTCCAATTTCTTTAGAGTCTGTTGCCTGTAACTCTCCTCTACCAGTCACAGTCACGGGCAGGGTTTAATTGCAGAGAACATAAGCCATCCTAGCAAATTGAAGCACGAAAGGGTTTATCATAGGGCATTAAAAAGCTCACGGAGTCATTGGGAGAGGTGGTGTAACAGACTGAGGTTGAGATTTCAGAAATGACTCCCCAGACCATGTAGTCAAACTGGGTCACCAAGGGAGCTCTTGGTTATCCCAAGATTAGGAACCTGCCATCTTCTACACAGTATGACAGCCAAAGTCAGGAAGCCACCGCAATGTGGAGGCCCTCAGGGACAGGAAGCTGGCTCTGCTCCAAACCAGACATGCTTCAATCCTCACCAGCACAATGGGGTCCCTGTGACCTGACTCTTGTCACCCACAAAGTTCTGCTAATGCTGCCGCAGAAAATGCAAATGCCTCTACAACCAGACTTTTTTAAAAGAAAAAGCAGAAGCAGCAAAGGCATGGCCTCTGCTCATTTCTGCCTTCCAAACCTTACACTGGTGCAAAGTAATGGCTGGACTTAAATCACATCCAGAGCACGTCCTGAGGTCAGGGGAGTCTGGGAAATGGGGTGTTTGGCTCTCCAGCCACTACAGTGCAGGAAGTGGCAGAAGGCAGGTGGGGTGGACACTGGGGGCAGATCTACCAAACCCATCACAAAACCCCAATACTGAGTTCTAGTCTTAAGCTCCGACAAAGAACCTATGTAGATGTAACTCTATTTGCAACCAATGAGTCCTCCACTGACATTCCTTTATATTCCCCACATACCTGTATAATCCCTGACAGTTAAGAGGTAAACTATAAATTCCCATTGATTGAATGATTGGCTTAGAATATGTGACAATACAGAAAGGCGTTTATTTTTATTTTTCTGACTCATTGCTAGAAGTCACTGGGAAATGGCTTGTCCATACAGCTGCAGCACAAAATATTTGCTGTTTATCTTAATGAGATCCCAGAGGGTCTTCTGAATCATCTGAGTAACAATAAGTTATATTCGGTAGCATTGTAGATTCAAGTACATTGTACAATATACTCATTTCTGGAAACTGATATAGGGAACCAAAATGCCCCTTTTTTTCCATTCACTTCAGAAAACAGAGAGCTTACTGTCTTAAGGAAAGGCACACTTTCATAGCCTCTTGCCTTGAAGTCAATAATGTGCCTTCCAGAAGAGTCCCAGTAGGGATAAGCAGTCTATCTTCCCCAAGCTATCTCCTTTCTTATCTTGCATTCAGTTGTCTTGAAGCTCCTCAAGTCTCTGGAGTAATCATTGTGCCTGAAACAGAGAACATCTTTGTGAGTGTTTCCCAGAGGAACAACTGACCGTCCTTCAAATACTGCTCTCAGCCCCAAGACCTATTGGTTTGGATGTATAAATCCCCGTGTCACACAGTGTGCCAAGTACTGGCCAGAACCCACGCCTCGCACAGCCCTCCAGCCTGCTCAGAATTTGGGAGAGCAAGGATCATCTCGTCCTTCCCCTGCCTTCAGTCAGAACTTTGCAAAATCACCCCTGACCTACAAGAACCCCACTGTGACTCGGAAATGATATGAGATACTAAATAGCCCTTTTCTTCTCAAGTCAAGTATCCCCTGTTACTTCCTAAGCTACTGATTGGAAGAGAAACGTAACTAAGGAAAGGTGGAAAGGTTTTGTCTCCGAAGCACCTAGGAGACCTCGTCAAGGCCCATGAAGCCCCAAGAAGATGATATTTCAATGATTACTGTGTTTTACTAAAAAGTGAAGGATTGAGGAGGCTGCCCTCACCCAGCAAGGTGGCACACATTGACAAGAGCAGACCACATCTCTCTCCGTGAACAAAAAAGAAAGGAAATGGAGATAATTATTCTAGAAATTCAATAGCTCCCCTTCCTCCTAAATCACTGGAATAATTGCCTCAGTCTTTAGTGGAAACTAAATTATTGCTTAGTAGCTGCTCTGGCTTGGACCTTAAGAGACTTCTTCATGGTGGAGGAGTCTCCCATCTCCACATTCCTACTGCCAACTTCATGTTCCTGGGCAATGTACATATAACCACCCTCCACTTTCTCTCCTTAAACACACTCAAATCCAAACTTTCCTGTCTAAACCAAAATTCTCGAATCTTGTCTATCAAGTAGCATCAGGACCCAGGGGCTATTGGCTAGGATGGAGGTTTATGGCTCCAAAGGAAGTATTTAATATGCTATTATTTTTAAAAGGAATCATGGACATTTAGACGCCATTTCTACTCCTTTTTATTCTTAAAAAGGGAAGAAGTGAGTAAGAGAAACCCCTCAGCGTCTTGGGCCAGAATCATTTCTGGCTCTCAAGGCAAGCCCAGCTGTGTCTTTTTGCTTTGTTACATCTGTCTGTCATGTCTTTCAAATACTTCCCCTAACACGCACCAGTGGAGGTTTCTGCACATTCTTGCTTTCCTGACCTAATTTGTGCCTTGCATTCATTCTCTCTCTTAAAACTGTCTCACCCCAAGCACACACACGCACACGCACACACACACACACACACACACACACAGAGGGATCCTTTGTCATGACCCCCAAATAGTCATAAAAAGAAATGACTTCAGAGCTAAATTGTGTCAATTCCATTGTAGCTCCACGATATAAAAACTGCTGAGGAAGTTTTATGCTTCAATTTTTTAATCCACAAGGATAATAATAGCATTTACCAGAAAAAGTTGTTTTTGAAGGTTCAATTATGAATGTTAATCAAGTGCTTAGAAAAAATGTCTGGCCTAAGGTCGTACTCAATGCATATTAGCTCTTATCATTATGGGACATGGCATGTGAATAGTGTATTAAATAAGTGTATCCCCTTCCTGTCCTAACAAACAATGAAGCACTGGATTCTGGCCATACCTACATCCCCCTTCAGAGGAAAGTTGTCATGAGCAGTTCTTTCTGCATGAAGGTACCACAGCTAGGGAATTCCCTGGAGGTCCAGTGGTTAGGATTCCATGCTTTCCCTGTCGAGGGCTCGGGTTCATCCCTGGTCGGGGAACTAAGATCCCACAAGCCACGTGGCCTGACCAAAAAAATGAGAGATACTATAGCTAATGGTTACTCAATCAAAAATGAGTGCCCAGGCCAAAGGCAATACATGTGTATGTAAGATGCACATGAGTAAGACCTGTTGCCCAGGAGATGACTTGACCTGAGATGCTCCCTACATGGAGCACTCCATATTGGGTGGTGACAACCCAGCCTGATCAGAACTTCTCTCTCCGAGACTTGGGATATAAAAGCACACAGGAAAGAAAGCAATAGGGGTCTATTTGGAAGCAGTTGAAAAGATGGCCAGATCACTGATGAGGTGATCATATTCTGAATGGCAATGATTCACTAAGTTATCCATGAAGCCAGCTGAACATTGAAGCCTGGGAAGCAGAAGATCTAGGGATGGCATATGTGCTGAGATAATTTCCCACATTTTTTTCCTTTTGGTGTATGCTTGTCTTAAAACCTACCTCCTGGGCTTCCCTGGTGGCGCAGTGGTTGAGAGTCCGCCTGCCGATGCAGGGGACACGGGTTCGTGCCCCGGTCCGGGAAGATCCCACGTGCCGTGGAGCGGCTGGGCCTGTGAGCCATGGCCGCTGAGCCTGCGCCTCCGGAGCCTGTGCTCCGCAACGGGAGAGACCACAACAGTGAGAGGCCCGCGTACCGCAAAAAAAAAAAAAAAAAAACCTACCTCCTAAGCAGTGATTTTCAAACTTTAGTGTTAATAAGAGCCTGTGAAATGTGTTAAAATGTAGAATCTGGGCCCTCTCCTCAGAGATTCTGATTCAGCAGGACTGGAGTAGGGCCTCAGATAGGGCCGCTATTTGTGGCCACACGAGTTATTCCTTGCACTCCTCTGGGGACACATTCATATTGACTATGATGTGTGTGCCTCCTGAGAGTTGTGCAGTGCACAACTTGCCCAGCTAAACATGGCAGCTATCCATAATTCTCATATAAGTGGTTCCAAATTCACACTAAGAAATATAATATTAAAGGTAACTTGGATACGTTCCCTTTTTGCTATCTAAAAGAATCCAGCAAATACTAGTTCCCTGCTGACCCACCCCAAGTCCTAGTCACTGTTCATATCTACTGGGTATCTACAGTTGGGAAGGGTTGAAGCAGAGGGAAAAGGACAGGCAGAGAAAGAACCAGTGCATTTGTGTTTTGTTACATACAGAAAGCTTCAACAAGAGGCTTGATGTCTAGTCAAAATAGATGTCCCTTCTGAGTGCCACTGGCTGTGAAACAATTGGAATGAAACCAAATACAAGGAGTGCAAAATGAATTGCTTATGAAAACCTTACAACACACCAAGGCACTAGCATCATGCTCCCAGCTCCCTGCCCCTCATTAAAGATGTTGCTTTCCAGACCCATTAATTGGCGAGGGTCTCAGTATAGTTAGGAAATAGACTCCACAGGCCCCTGAAAGGATAACTGTGCTTCTAGAGAAAGGATTTATCATCTGTCAAATGAATTCAAGTCAACGGTTTTTTGTGGGGTTTTTTTTTCTTTTTTTTTTTTTTTCGGGTTTTTAATGAGCACAGTTAGGTGCTGATTGGATAAAAAAGAATTAGAAGACTCCATCCCAAGCTTCCCAAGGAGACTGAGGGGAAGAGGGACACAATTCAAAGATACAAAGAAATTGGAGGACAAGGAAGAGAATATATCATCAAGTGCTAAGTTACTGACTCTGTCCATGCAATTAGAGTTCAGGAAACCAAGAGACCAGTGAGGCTACAAATGCCACAGGGAGGTCACTGAAGAATATTCCAGTGGCTACTTTCATAAACAGTAAAAATATCTGAGGTTTGAGGGAAGAAACAGACTTGCTCCTCTTCCTGTTGGCTGGCATTTCCTTTGATCCCAGCATGGGGCCTGGCCATGTTCACTTCACATACTCTGGAGCTTTTTACTCCCATTTTCCTGAGCACATCTGACTCCTGCTAGGTGCTTGCCCGGGCTTCTCAGACACCTGGCCTAGGACACCTACAAGAACAACTCAGCACTTGTGCAAACCTGACAGTGTGAGGGAGTTAACATCTGGGGTGGATCCTTGGCCGGTTAGGGATGGGAGCTTGTGGGCCCCACTTGTGTCCCCTGAGTGCACAATTCTGAGACGCTTTCCTCACGGCTCTCAGGTGGTCCCAGGAAGATCAGGCCCCAGTTTCCCACAGCTGGGACCAAACTTGACTGTGAACTTCGTATGAATTGTCTCCCCTTCTTTCTCTCCTTCCCCTCTTTCCAGTCCCCTAGTCCCATTCCCTGAGGTCACTCCCCAAACTACCTGCATACGAGCCCTTGTCTCTGGCTCTACTTTCTGGAATGAATCCTGGCTATGACAAGCCCTGAGAAGGATGATTTCTGATTCTGGAATTCAAATATTTCATGCTTAGTTGGCAAAGAACTCTGACACAGGGCTCCTCCCCTAAGCACACTCATCTCAGGACAGTTCAAACCAAAATACATGATCTGCTTGATTTGAGGTTTTGCTAAAACTGACATTATTTCATGAAGGCCCAGAATATGAGGAAAAGGAGCAGGGGCAGGATTTTATACTTCTGAAGTTCCTATTATGTACTATACATATTTGTATATTACTAACCGTTACATACGTCTAACGAGGTAGGTAGAATCATCCCTCATTTGGAGATGAGAAAACTGTGGCTCAGAGAGAGCAGGAAGTGACAGAATCAGGATTTGAGTTCAAGTCCAGGGCCCCCCACATCCATAGCTTGCCCATTTACCTGATGCTTTCTCCCACACACTATTTTATGCATGGGGTTAGGTGCCTTTCTCTCAAGTGTATCAGTGCTCTTCATTAATTCTTGTTTTCAGGTTTGGAACTAGAAATCAGTGATCTGCAGCAACTGGTTGGCATTTTAATCTCTCCAGGTTGAGGGATGGAGGTGGCCCTTTAAGCAACAGTGAAAGCTCAGAATTCTAGAAAGCTGCTCACGTCTGTGTGCTACACCCAGGGATTGAACCCCAGTCTCAGCCGGGCTTTAGAAATGCAAGACAGCTCTCTGGCTGGTAATGAACACAGAACATGAGTCAGGTCTAGCATGGCCCGGGGCTCAATGCCAAGCACACAGTAGGTACACAAGAAACATTTGCCAAGTTACCTAGAAGCTGTCAGAGCCAAAGCTCCATTTTCCTCCAAGCACCTGCTGAAGGTAAACCACTGTGGGCCACCTAACCCATTTCTGTGTCATCCACATGTGCCCACTTGGACCTTCTACACGTGAGCCCCCAGAATAATAAGGATCTA